ATGTGCCCTCAACATCTGGCCATCAAACACGTCCTTAGCTCAGATCCAAGGCTTCCCCTCTGAAGGTCCACCATGCGCCTCCAGTCAACTCACGTACCAGATCCAGCAAAGTCAAAATGGACCATCAATCTTGGGCCCAGCAATTCAGATAACACCCCCCTTTTCAGCAAACACCACCAGGCCCATTTGCTAACCTTCTTTTTATTATTTCTTTTCTTTATTTTTTATTCTTTAAATTTCCTTTATTTATTTTAATTCACAAATTAATTTATTTTTCATAAAAGTCATAAAATCAATACTTCACCGAAATTTGGATTAGTTTTTTTATTTTATTATTATCAAAATTAATTTAACTTAATTTAATTTAGGGAAATTGTAATTTGTTTTCATAAATAAAAACAAAATAGAAATTAGGTTAAGCTTTTGATTTAATTTTATTTTGCTCTTTTTCTCAAATAAATAAAAATACAAAAAATAGGTTTTAGATTAAATTAATTTATTTTTCTCTTAATTTAAAATTAATTAGACTTAGGATTTTCCTTTAATTTAACTATTTCATTATTTTCTAAAAAATAGAAAAAACATTTTCTTAACCAATCGCAATTAGGTCTAGTCAAGGGTCAAAACCCTAGTCGCTTCGTGTTTGATTCATCGCGCGCATTATTATTTTTACCAATATTTCTGTATATGCTCATGGTTTGTAATAGTTTAATCTAGGGCTTTTATTTATCGCTTTTTCCCAGGTTTTTGGCTATGTAATTAATCCCCATCCCCGAAGCCTTGTAATAGCGTAGATTTACTTTCTCGCATTTTTAATTTCTGGAAATATTTAACTGTCTAGATGTATGATAATAGGATTATATGACAAGAATGCATGACAATTTAATACAGTTAGAGAACCCTAATGTGCAAAGATAAATAATTGAAACTAATCACTCGCACATATAACTCTTAGGGTATACTCTCACTTCGGTTGCCTTCGGTAAAGGAACATTAAGCATAGGGTGTCTTAGTGGTTGCCCTCCTGTCTAAAAAAGATCAAAATGTCCCGTTCGAATGTTATCTCAGAAATGTTGCCTCGGAAATGTTGCCTCGAATATGATCTTAAGACTCTAGGGTTATTACTAAAACATCCTAATATTGCTTTAATGATCGTACGTCCCTTTCGAATTGACCCTTACAACTCCAACGACGGTGCTACCTATTTCTCAATAGTGGGATAGCGCTGTCTAAAGGAAACAAGAATATAAACAATATTTTTTCGAGTAGGTAGATGCTAGTAGGTACTTGCTCAAATAAAAACTTTTCACACTTACACATTTCAAACAAATTTTCAAAACAACTTCGTCACACCTTTGAGGACTGATACAAGGGTTATCACGAAGTTAAAACTCTTTTCAAAGCAAAGCACATACACAAGCAATTTAAAAAAGATGAGCAAGTACCTAAGAGCCCATGGAAAACCATGGATAGAAAGGGTACTAACACCTTCCATTTCTATAATCTACCCCCCGTACTCAGAATATCTCGAAAAAAGGATTTTTCTGTACTTTTTTCCTTTCCGGTTGGATGAAATAAAAGTCGGTGGCGACTCTTGCTTACCGCGACATTTTGCGAACAAAAAACGCAAAATGCAAACCAGCATTTCAAACAGTCGGTTCTGCCACCGTATCATAGAACTGGCGACTCTGTTGGGGAAATGATAAGTGGGGTATACCTTAGGATCTAGTTCATCATATTTGCTTCTCTTGATTGCCTTTTTTGCTATATTTTTTAGGGTTCTGTTTGGGGTTACTATAGATCCTAACCCGGATCTGGGGATACCTTTTAGGTAAGTAGCAATAGACTGTGAGGGAACTGTACAGCGTAGACCGATACGGTTGAAGCAGTAGCTATGTTGATGTGGCACATTGGTTGGTATCGGTATCCCTTGTGGAGAAACGAGGAGAATACGGGGCCACTGCATGGTGTCGTTAAGCATCAACTGACCTTAGAACCTTTAATCGCCCAACTTGGCCATTAGAAAGTAGTGAGATAGCCGATCTCAGTGTAAAGTTGGGAACTGGTTAATAATCGGTGCTACACTCATTGAGACCATACTCTCGAGATAGTTCCGGCTGCAAGAAAAGATTGCGTGAGCTGAAACCATGACCGATGGAGGATGGTCAGTGATATTGAGATCATCTAGAACCCGATTACTTTTTCTAGGACAGTTTTGAACCAACTTAACTTCAAGATGGTACTACCTTTTGACCTCATGCAAGCCTTAAACCTAAGGGCTTTGTGTGATTTATTTGTGTGTGCAATACCTGTTGTTTGCTATACCTGTGGTTTATCATGACATCATGCATCATAACATGGCATTCATGCTTCATTACACTAACCATTTCAAAGTGTTTAGAACTTTGACTTTTTTCAAAGTAATCTTGACTTTTGATTTCTTGATGAACAATTTTAATACTTTGACATGTCTTGATGAAATATGATTTTTGAAACTTGATTTTGATCAAAAAGTCAAAGTTTGACTTTTCAGTGTACAGTTGACTTTTTTCATCAGTTGACCAAATTTCAACTATCAATCAATTGATTTTGAGAAATGTTTTGAACAATGCAATTAGGTCAAAATCATGCATTTGGATTCTTGATGTCATGTCTCAAACCAACTAAAACAACCGGCTAAAAATCATCAAACAATGAAGTCGCCATCGAACGTCTTTTATCCCACGTGTAGGGAAAGGTAAACATCGAGAAAACCTGAGAAGGGAGAAGTCACGGTCTTACGACCGAGAGATCGGGTAAGGGAGTCTTTTACGCGAGGGGAAGATATTAGCACCCCACACGCCCGTAGTACTCTATGGTATCCACTCTTGTTGTCTGTCTTATGGGTGTGTTTAATCTATGCTTACTGTTTTCTATGCTACTGAAGGGAGAATGCATGCAAAAGAAAAGGGGAAAAGAATGTAGGGAAAATAAAATTGTGCTTGCTTGGGCCCTACCCGAATGCCTACGTATCCTTTTTGAGGAATCAGAGCTACCGTAGTTCGGCTCATATATTTTGTTTGTTTGTATTTTTTATGAACAATGTTAATTCCGCCTTCTGTCGCAGCTCGACCTTTGGAGACTTATGCGTTGGCACAAAGGTAAACTAATCATGTCCTTACCTGAAAAGGGTTTTAGAGAAAAGGTGCTTGAGCGCACAAAATTATTTAAATTGGTTTGTATTTTTGTTACCTTGAAAAAGGGTTTAAGTATGATTAGCATGTTTTTGATTTGCTAAGAAAAGAAGTTTTATTTTAGATGCAAGGATGAAAAAAGGGAAATAAAATAGTCTATGGGAGACTAGCCTATCTCTAACCTAATGTTATCATACAATGGTAGTCCTATGTCGAGGATGAAAGGGGAAGTTCCTACCTACTGTTAGCATGCATGGTTTACAACCTAAGGTCTAACTTGTGTTTGAGCAGAGCAAGCACATCCTAAGGGAACATGGTATGTACAAGGATAAAGCAAGCAAGCTAATAAGCTCAAGAGATCACACCTAAAGAGATCCTACCTAAGTTAGCATGCCAAAGAAAGTCTAGTAAAACTATCCTATTGGGAGCATGCAATGAGAGCGAAGTCGTGATCTCAATTTCTAAATTGAGTGACTCATCGATCAACAAGAAAGTAAACAAACACAAGCACAACACATATAGAAAATGAAGTGCAGAATTCCTGCTACAGGTCTTTAAACAGCGACTTCGAGCGCACTCTCTTTATTTCCTACTTCTCATGATATCTAGGAAGCGATAACGAAATGCAATAAAGTGCGAAGAAGTACAAGGGTAGTAGCGGAGGCTACCAAAGAGAGCAAGTCGTCAAGAGCAGACGAAAGCACTAAAAAAACAGGGAGTACACGTCGAGCAAGCTTCACCAAGAAAAAAATAGAGTCAGAAACAATATCCAACTAAGATAAAGGCAAACGCGTGTCGCGAATGCGGCGCATAATCAGAAGTTCCTGCATAAAGCGTCATAAAATATCACATGCATTTTGACAACATATAATATGATATGAATTTCTCAGGACAATGAGAAATAAGGCATGTCGCATTGGACTTGAGCATAAGCCATATGCTTCGATCACATAACTACTTGTCATGTTACATAATCGAAATCACCAAAAATGTACCTTGCACAATGAACAAACGCGTCAAAAATAACGAGGCACGACAGTACAAAAATGTGAATAAAAACTAAAAGAAAAATTATTTTTTATTAGTTTTTAATGTGAGGAGAAAATTCTATCGAAAACTAAATGATTAATTCTTAGGAGAAATTATATTATATTCTACCATTTTTATTGTTTTTTACAATTTTATCCTAACAAAAGTATAGAAAAAATTAAGGAAAGTCCTAAATTCTACAAAGAGATAGTAAGAAACAGGGGGGTGTTCGCTGGAGACAGAGAGTGTAATTAGAATCAGGCACTGAAAGGCCCTTGCAGAATCAGTCCAATGGAGCTTTGTGGTCCAGCTTCAGTTAAAAAAAATGTGATATGGGCTTAATGAGGAGTAATATGGTCCGGTCCAATTTAACAAGTGTCCAGAACTTTATTCAGCATTTTTTGTTTTATTATACCAATATATAGCATTGAACTTTAACAGAAAATAACAGAAAATAATAAATAAAAAAAGAAAGAGGATTAGGGAAACATTGTGTGATGATTGAGCTTCAACGAGAGTCCTTCTCCTATCAATCCACGGAACGATGGATCAACCTTCTGCACTGAGAATCACCGCCATCAAGCTTCATGCGTCAGCTTCGTGTTCAACTCTGTTTTTGTGAGCATAACTTCATTGTGACGCTTCTGTTCCAGATGTGGTTGTCGATCGCGATTTTGAAGAAAAACCGGAGAAGAAGAAATTGAAAAAAAATGCAAGTCTTACCTACCATAAGATAAGTTCGATGCGTCTTTAACACTAAGGTAATTGCATATTTGATTTCATTTTCTCTTCTTCTATTCATAATTCTTCTAGTCCTTGCGTTGCGAATATGTTGCACTGTGCACAGAGATGAGGAGGATTGTTGATGTGATTGTTGTAAAGAGAAAGGGAGAAGATGAAGGATTGAAGGTGATTATGATGGAAAAGAGTTTCTGTGAGGAAGATGAAGGTTGAGGGTGACAGAGGTTTTGTGAGCGTGCGTTCAGCGAGGGATAAAGAGTGAAGTTGTTGAAAGGTGGTGGTAGGATAATAGGTTGAAGAAGAGGAATGAAGAAAATGGAGAAAAAATGGTTGAGAGAAGAGGTTGCAGAGTGAATTTTTAAAGAGGGCGAAGAGTGAATTTATGGAAATGATGGTTAACCTGTTGAATGAAGGTGAAGTTGGCTTATATAGGTTGATGAAGGTGGTGAAAACGGTTATAGAAGAGAGGATCAGAGCCATTGATGATTGATAGTTTGTTAGAAGATTCAAGGGTCAAGATTGAATCGGTTAGGGAGTTAGTTACTTGGACTGAGAGTTAGTTGAGATTCCTTTTGTTTCTGTTTTTCTGCCATGATAAACTATGATCGGTTAAATGAATTGAACCAGATAGTTCCACTTGATTTCTTGATTTTATGATTCCTCTTTTTATTTTATTCTCCCCGTTTTCGGTTATGCCCTTATTTCTTCTGTATGAAATCTGAACCTTTTTCTTTCCCCCTGTCTTCTGTGTTGTCGATGTCGTCGAAGATGAAACAGATTGAGGCTTTGTTGTGATGTTGTTGTTGATGTACGATGATGCTGATGATGAAGAATTGAAGGATTCAAGGAAGTGAGATAAATATTGTAATGATTATAATGATATGCGATGAAGCTGTGACGTATTGCTATATTTCATAGAGTTTGTTAGAGCTTTTTGTTGGTGATTCTCCTGGAGATGAAGAATGAATCTGAAGGTGAGTTTTTCTCTAACTTTTTTTGAGTTTTCTTGAGAAATTTTCTATGTAATTTCTGAATAATGAATCTAGTGTCCAGTTTCTTTGTGAATGAATTGTGTATATAGGTAAGAATGTTGGGAAAAGTTTGTTAGAAGAGTTTGTTATGAAGTTAGTTGCAAATTGGTTAGCTGTTAGGAGATTAGTTATCCCCTTTCTGTTTTTCTCATATTCTCTTTTATACCTTCTGATTCTCTAATGCATGGCCTTGGTTTTCCCAGTAGGCTTGGGTTTTGCATCTGGCTTGGGCGATAAAGATGGATTCGTAACAGTTCTCCTTGACCGTGTTGGAGTTTTTCCTTCTGTGCCACCAACATTATACCGTTTGCATAGCTTTTCCCACTCCTTCAATAGTTGCAGAAAGTCCTATGCAGATTCATTTCTCACGTGCATCTATGGATGGTTTAGTTTCAAGCTTTTAGTTGCAGACGTATCACTATCAACATCCCATCTCACGACAAGACTAACTGATGATAGTTTGGCACCTAAGCACAGTCCGGTTGACATGCCACCACAACCAGAATAGAGATCTAGCAATGTCAGTTCTGTCCTGTGTGATTTAGATCTAGGTAGGGTCTTAGAAATAGTGGATGCCTCTGTTGGGAGACTTTCAAGCACATCAGGTTGTGACGACTCCTTAATCTTAACAACATTATCTGTTGGTATTTTGCGGAATGTAGAGTATTCAACACAATATTCCATATCATAATAGAAGTTAAATGGTAAAACAAAAGTCTACCTCGGACCAACCTTAGGTTTTATGTATCTAACATTCACTTTCTCTATTATGGAATCTATTAAGTTATCATTCATTATTGATGAATAGAACAAACGCCTCTTGTCGTGATAATCACCTGCATCTTTGACAATTGTATCTTGAATTCTTGGTAATGCCTTGGACATTTGAATGAATTTGTAAAACCCTTGATAGACATTGAAATGAGTTGTTTTATTTTACAAGCTTGCCTCAAGAAATCTAAATGCCCTTCTTATTTCGAAAACTCTAAACAAATATAATCAATGACGTTAGGTAGCACTTCAAATGACTCTAAATAACTATTCCATAAAAGCCAAACCAAGTCAATATTGCTTCCTTGCAACAACTTTTAATTTCCCCCTTAGCTCCATTTTTGTAATCGAAATAACAAATAACAATGCCTTTAGGACACCTTGAAGTATAGACAAAAATATAATATGAAACCAAATGAACCCTAGATGATAAATGTTAGAACTTTACACATAGAAAATATGACACACTAGTCCACTTGTGCTTGATGAATTCTTGATGGAGGGCGACCTTGTAGCTCGATGAAGAAAGATCCATAACATCCATGAACACAGAACCATAACCCCACAATTTCACTGCCTCGGGAAAATAACCAAAAAGACAAGCTTTATGGAACACATACACTTCAACCAATTGGCAAAACCCTAACTGTGTTCGTAAAAAACCATGGATTCAATGCTAAGCTTATTGATTAATGATGCATGACGTGTCAAATGACATAATGTAGGTTATGTACATGTGAAAAGTGCGAAACGCATAAGCCAAATAAAAGAAAAAGGGGTAGGACAAATTTAGGGTATTATACCAACAAGTCATGTGCTAGGTCAAAAGTCAAAAATTGAACCTTCTCAGTCAAAACCCTTATTTTGACCATTTTGCCCTTTTGATGATCTGATCAAATTTCTTGAGAAATTATGATCGAAACTTGACCAAATGGTTCATATGAGTTTAATAGGTTGACATGGATAAAAAATTATGGGTTTTAACTGTAAATGGACAACAATTGATTTTTCCCCAATATAATTGATTTTAGGTCAACTGACCAATTGACTGAGAAAAAATGTAATCCAAAGCCTGAAACTTGATATGAGAAATCTTGGGAGTCCAAAGTGATTTATGAAAATCATGTGAAGCATTAAAGGTCCAATTGTCTTTATACAAACTTAAACCCTAATTTTGAGTCATCAGTGTTTGGGGAGGTATCTTGAGCTGATCAATCTTGGTGCCGTCTTAAATCAATGGAGATCTTGTGAGAAAATATTTGAGAAATTGAGAAGGAAAATTTTGGGGTACAACAGACACCTATTCAAAATATAAACTGCAGTCAAAATAACTTCTCCCCATAAAGACTTTGGAAAATTCTTTTGCTTCAACATGCATCTCGCCATATCTAATATGGTTATGTTTCTTCTTTCAGCAATTCCATTATGTTGAGGTGTATAAGGAGCGGTTACCTCATGATCAACACCATGTTTTGCACAAAAATCTTCAAACATATTGGATGTGTATTCACCACCTCCATCTGTTCGTAGAACTTTGATCTTCTTCTCACTCTGGTTTTTGACAAGTATCTTGAATCTCTTAAAGATTTTGAATACTTCACCCTTTCGTTTGATCACATAGATCCACAAATTAAGACTAAAATCATCGATAAACGAAATAAAATATCTGTTTCCACCAATTGTATGTTCTTCGAATGGACCACATACATCTAAATGTACCACTTCGAGTATGCAAGATGATCTCATTGGCATAGTCGAAACAAAAGAATTTATGGATTGCTTTCCTACTAAACAACCTTCACAAAGTTTTTCAGGCATCTCAAGACTTGGAATTCCAGTAACCATATCTTGAGTAATCAGTTGATTGAGTGATCAAAAATTCAAATGTCCAAACCTCAAATGCCATAACCAACAATCCTTGTGGTCAACAACACTTTTCAAACATTGAACTTCAGTCGAACTGATGATAGTCTTAAATATCACGTTCCTCGACAATGGAGATTTTAAGACCAAATTGTTCTTGGTGTCGAACAATTTCAAAACTCCATTTTTCATGACAACTGAGAAACCTTTTTCGAATAGTTTTCCAACACTTCACAAGTTATACCTTATTCCAGGTACATAAATCACATCTTTGATCATAGATTTCCCTCCATTACTCATTTGAAAGACTATATTTCATGTACCTTCTGCTTGCAATGAACTATTATCAGCAAGTTTTACCTTGATCTTCTTCGACTCGTCAAAATCTGCCAACCACTCCTTTCAACCAGTCACGTGGTTCAAGCAGACTGAGTCGAGAAACCCGATCTTGGATTCGACATGGTTATCTGCAACTGCAGCCATAACCACCATACCACCTTTAGAATCATATGAATCTTGGCGTGCAAGGTTCGCTCCTTTGTCCTTTCCTGTCGATCCCTTGTCTTTTTTGTACCAACAGTTCTTGGCTATGTGACTCTACTTTTCACAATTATAGCACTGCAAACCTTTTTTATCTTCTTTTCCCTTTCGATAATTTCCTCCTCCTCCTTTCGAGGATTCTGAACCTCTATCTTCGACCCGATGTTTGTGAGGTTTCGACCAAGACTTCTTGCCCTGAGTCTTGTCTAACTTTCCTTTGAATTTGTTGGAACCACCATCCTTTTTCCATGAATGAGCTTGCAAAGCCTGTATCGATTCTTGCACTCCTTTCCTTTCGACAATCCTCATCTCATGCGCCTCCAACGAACCAACCAAATCTTCCACTTTAGTGGTTTCAAGATTGTCGGATTCTTGAATAGCTACGATAGCATGATCAAAGTGAGAGGTCAACATTCTTATTACCTTCTCAACTATCATCTTATCAGTTATGGTTTCACCATAACCCTTCATGAAATGGACGAGTTTTTGAACCTTCGCCATATATTCTGCAACTTTTTCATCTTCTCCCATCGATAATAACTCATATTGTTGATGTAAGGTTTGTAACTTGACAACCTTGACTTTCTCACCTCCTTTGTAATACTTCACCAGAATACCCCATGCCTCCTTCGCTGTTTCAACATGAGAGATTCTGTCAAAATGAGCAACATCGACTGTAACGCCCGTTGATTTAATTAATTACTTAATTAGATATTTTCGATTAATTTAGGATTATTTGTTGAAATTATTGACATGTTGTGTTATGTTGTGAGTTATTGACATACATTGCAGTGTTGTTATTAGTCGGTTAAATTAGTTTATTAATAATATTAGTTGTTGGGCTTGTTTTGGTGATAGACGTAGTATTAAGGGGGATGTGAAAATTAGGCCCAATAGAAATAATAATATTATTGAGTTTAGTTAAATAATAGAAATTAGGGTAATTAAAGAAAGGGTTAAGAGAAATATTAGAGAAAGTGTTGTACGTGAGAAGTTGCAAAGAAGAGGAAAAGAGGCAAAGCGGGGTTCGATCGGAAAATTATAGAGAAACCTTCGATCCAAGGTAAGGGTGGGGTTTTAACTCTATAATGGGAATTATGATGCATGTTACGTAGGGATTGGGTTGTGTAAAATTGTTGCCGTGTGTGATTGTTGTATGAATAATTTGTTGTTTGTATCTGTGAGAATTGTACTAAAGTTGCAGTAATTCAATCGATGAATCGAGTGTTGAAATTATCATGTATTGATATGGGTATAGTTGTATGTTGCTGTGTGTGATACGGTGGTAGAACCGACTGTTATACTGGTTTGTGTTTTGTATTCGCAAATGTGCGGTAAGCAAGACTCGCCACCGACTTTTCTTTTATCCGACAAAGGAAAGGGTGAAAAGAACAGAAAAAGACCTTTTCAAGAGTTTCTGAGTAAGAGGGGTATATTATGGAAAGGGAAGGTTCTAGCACCCTTTCCATCAGTGGTTTTCCACGGGCTCTTAGGTACTTGCTCATTTTTGAAATCCGTTTTCGTGGTTGTGTGTTTTGAAAGGTTTTGTTTGCTTTATGATAACTATTGTATCAGTCCTCAAGAGTGTGATAAAGGGTTTTCGAAAAGAATTTTGAAAGTGTGGTGTGAAAATGAATTAGATTTGAGCAAGTACTTAACATCTATCTACCTACTAGGGGTGCAAGTGTGCAATAGTGTGCTTTTTTCCAGATATTTTTATCTTGATATTAGTGATCTAAGATTGATTGATTCTTGCCATACACGCCTAGTCTACTAGCAGTTTATATACAGACATATAATATGGTGCAAAAAGTAAATTGAAGGAAATAAAAACTCCTAAGCTGTTACATGGCCTTGGGGCAGTTACAATTATATCTGATTGAAAATGTAAAGTGTGGAAATTAAAACCCTAATTAGGCTATTACAAACCGGGCGCAGTTACGTAATTAAAAAAAATAATCGTACGAAAAATAACGACGTGCAAAAATCAAAATAGGAATAAGTTTGAAACCCTAAAAATCTAATTGCTTATTAAATTTTTTTGTTATTTTATGAAATATTGTGATATTTAACCTAATTTCTAACTAATTTTAAATTAAAGAAAACAAGTTAAAATTTAATTAAATTAATTTGCAAGAATTAATTTTAATAAAAAAACCTAACTATTTTTTTGTGATTTTTGTTGATTTTATGATTTAAAAAAATGAATTTAAGAAAATATAAACTAATAAAAAAAAGAAAATAAAGTAAATAAAAAAGAAATGGGCCTGGAGTGAGAAACCAACTTGGGGTGTGCTGCATTGAACTTTGCTAAGGACCCAGATCTGTTGGCCCATACAGCGTGTGATCCAATGTTGCTGCTTCTGGAAGGTCCACCATATGGCTGCAGGCCTGGAGGCGCTGGATCCAAGCCACTGGGATCTAATGGCATGAGTTTGAGGGTCTGTGATGTACACGCTGGAGCTTGAAGTGCCGAATCTGTAATATAAATCTTAGAAAAATAAAACACC